TGCATGTATCGGCACTATCGGCTCGCGAGAGCGTGCCCCAAACGCTAATAAGTAGGCCTTATTCCTGCTAAATTTCAACTTTTAGTACGCCAAACTAGATTTAAGAACTACAAACGCTCGACACTTCATGATCCAAAGAACATAAGTAATGGCCGTATATGTAGAATGAGAAATATCGTTAAAAATCTGCAGCCTAACCATTTAATTTTTTCTCGCAGATGTGAGGTTGTTGGTTTTGAAAGAAAACGACGAATGCGTTTTTCAAACATACAATAAACACATACGCAAATAGATACAGTGGTTTCGTTTTATCGTATTTTTCATTAATTTAATATAGAAAAAAAAATATCAGAAATTAATTTCAGATATAAAAAAGATCAAATATAAAAAATAAATTTCAGAAATTATATTCTTAGTTAAATAATATTCCAAATAGCTCAAATTTCCACATATCTTTTACTACATATTAAAATTTTGTGCATATATCATCCTGCACATAAGCACACATTTCTAATACCCGACTTACAAATGTGAATATATGTACATCGATATATAATTAAAAATAGTTCAATTTCTGCTACGTTTCTTATTTTCATCACAAACATCTCATCAACCCAGTAAACGTTCATTAAGAAAAAATTGAAAAGTACAAAAATGTTATTTGTCATATACTGGTCAGACTGTTTGTTGTAACTGCTAAACTAAACCGAACCGCTCGAATGTTGCACTCTCTCTCATTCGCAATATCCGTCTCGCTTGGTGACGGAGCTCAACGCTATCTTAATTGCGATCAGTTGGGGTACCTCGAACAAGCTACTCTGCGGAACCTAACAGTAGCCTGTTCGCGGATATCATTGTATTTGCGTCTGAACATAATTAAAATTTCCTAAAATTGTGCGCGGTACATCGATTCACACATTCATATCCAAACGTAAACATTAGTGTACGTACGAATCTTTAGGCAATGTTAGTTACATTCAGAGGTAAATGTCTCGAGAATGATCAGAACGTACGGTTATTAAAGCCGTTGAATTTGTTTTTTCACACTCTATAATGGTATCGAACCAAATTATATGTATGTAAGGTTCCATTTGAAAACATACTGATGACCTTGAAATCTCTTTCAAAAATGTCCTGGAAAAAAAATTCTTTCCAGCGTTATATGTGCCTTTTGAAATAGAGCAACTTTGATCTCAGAAGATTTTTCATACAACAATAAATAAAGCAGATATTTAGGTAATCCATTCTTATTGGTAGTACAACGGTTTCCTTACCAAAATTTTTCACGAAAATGAATGTTATTGAGGTGAATTTTGTAATTCAACAAATTATTTGAAATATTTCAGATAAATTGAAAATAAATTACAGATCAGTTCGTTTAGACTGAAATTGGTCACCCAAACTAAAATCTAACTAATTCCTTTTACCACGGAGTTTACAAGCTTTTATTAACCCATTTATTTTTTCCAGATCATTTCTGTCGAGAATTAAGGTAATAGTGCCAGTTGATATCGTGACTCTATTACGTTACCGTAGAAATATCTCCAAAAAAATGCTTGATCTGGGGGTGTTTCTGCTAATCAATAATACAAATAATAAGGGAAATTGATAATTTGGGGGCTGAAGAAAGAAATATTACGAATAACCGTTCAAGTAGAGGGTTCCGATGTGGTTAAGTTCCTGGCGACGATCGAACCTTCCATCAAGGTGTGAAATCTCGAAGGGCTGCCCTTTTTTTGTTGCCGTACCTCCAGCCGATTGGTTTTCGTCGGTTCCGTATAGACAAAATGAAAAATGGTCTCTTATCGTCCGTGGGACCTTGCGCAACATTTCTTTCGAATGGTTATATAAATTACAGACACTCGATAGAAACTCAAGCAAGGACGCTGGGGTCGCAAGAGTCCGATATCTTCAAATAGCTTGAACGAAAATAATGCTTTCAGACGGCTATTACATGCTGTTAAATCAACCGTGGAGTGTAATCATTTTTGGAGTGGCAACAAATGTCACACTTGACGTTTCAGTTGACTTGGTTTGCCTTTTTATTACTAACAATAACTATTGTCTGGTTACATGCATAGTAACATCATGCAACGTAGTATGTTATTGCCTTATTATGAATGTTATATACAGGAATATCATTGGTACAAATAAACCAAAATCCTTTAATACATCAATGATTAACACGCATCTAGACAATAATATATAACTTTTCGCCAATCGTTTACAATGACAGAGCGGGAATTTTGAATATCCTTAGCAGACAGTTTTTACTGCAGAAATGAAACAGAAAGACTAAATAAAGTATGTCGATGTAAAGAGCGAATATCTTTCAAGTAAATTCCATTTCTCCTTGGAAAGAATATTATGAAATAACATATACATAGTAACTTTCAAATCAAACCTGAAATGTTCGTTGGAAAAAATGCAGCATAAGTCATAGTTGACGCAGTATTAACCAGCAGTATCACAAAATTAAACCTGTTAGGTAACTATTATTTTATAACCTATCAACTGTAAATTCTTTTATATTTGAGTGCTATTAAATATTGAGTGAAAACTGAAATTTTTAAAGTCGAAGTGGTGACAAAGTATTGCTAAAATTTCCAAAGCAAATTGATCATTACTGTAATGATAAGTATCAAAAAGAAATAAAAATTTTACGGATGCTTGTACAATGAAAAAAAAGAAAATTGATAAATCAGAAAATTGAAAGTAGATAAAATTCTCGTTGTTTGTTTTTCTGTAGGGTACTTTCTTTCATCAACATCATTCGTTACCCTAATAATAACAACTGAAATTGACACCAGGGGACACAATACGTTTACCAGTTTGCTTCGATAATTAATTAATAACGAATGACAAACGCAATCAAGCGGAAGCTTGATCAGAAACTATTAGCCGCTCCAAAAACTGAACGACGCCCTAGGAAAAAAAGAAATTGGCATTGTGCAGAACCTCGAATAGGCGTATTTCGTTCTAAATTGGATCCTTCAAATCCTGTACTCCGCTTTTATTTCGCAGTATTGTTCTTCCAATCTTCCCATCCGACCAACCATTTGAAGAAAGCGATTCGCAGTTCACTAGCAGCAGACACATTGAAGAGATAACGATTGAAAGCTTAATTCAATTACTTTTCAGTTCGTTTTAATTAGTTCTGGTACGGAAGTATCGGGTTTCGAAACGTTCGTTTGCTATCATTATAAATCGCTTGTTCCATGTGGTCGAAGTGCATTTGTGGAATAGAAAACAATTCGTAGATTCATTCTGTTTCATAAATTAAATGAGAAGTTTCAAGCTTCAGTTTTCAAGCTTCTCACGCGTTTCTAAGAAATTTAATAAAGTCTGCCTGCAAAATCGAAATTTTTGTCTGCAAGTTTACTACAGCGCGGAATGCTGTTTTTGAAAACACATAGAATACATTTTTTCAGTTTCTTTTTCAATTTTAACCATACATGGGAGTAAAATATTTCTTAAACAAATAACAGTCCATGAAAGAATAAGATCGTTATGTTTGATTGCTCGTTCCAGCAACACTTCAGAAACTACTGACAGGTTAGGTTGAAAAACAAAGACATTTTTCATATTTTCTCTATTTTGGACAATATGAGAAATCATGAGAAAATGTTTGTTAGACTTAAGTATTCATTGTTTATTTGAAACACCCGCCACAGTTCGCCATATTGAATTTTAGCTCTCGCATTTCCGCAGATTAACTGTGGCGGCGCCAAAAACTCTGTTCGATTCATTAATATGAGAGTGTCATCAACAGTCATCAACCCCCTGATAGTAAATATGTGTTTTTAAATGGTTTACAATGGTTTAGGATTTTATCACCTCGTTTGTGGTTTTACGTTTATATACTCTCAAACATTCTACGTGAACATACTTATTTGCCAGTTACTCAAAAATATCTACTTGTAAGCTACGTGTGTGCTGCATTAGTTACTTCTTTTGTGAATATTCTCATTGTATTGTATATATTATATATAATACATGATGCGAACGTAACCTTTAAATTATCACAATGGTACCTACTATTTAGTTTTCATTTTTACTTATCACTTTTAAGCAAACGAACGAAAAATACAATATGATGTTATTTATACTGAATCCAGCTATTCAAACATGTTTTCTGGGTTTACTCAATCAAGTACATTTCAACTTCATTTTGTTCTTCCAGTGTAGTAAATGTTTTGAACTTACATATAAATTTCGAGCAAACATTGTATAAACATTTAAATTATATATCGTATTTTATTGCCAAATACGTTAAAGTAACAAGTAGAATATGTTGGTATTTAACAAACACATCTTATATGTAAATATTTTAATGAAACATAAGTGTACCGTTTATCAAATGGCATTTTTAGTATTTAACAATGGATGGTAACCGAGTAATGGGAAGAAAAACGATGAAACTGGATATAGATACGTTCTTATAGTGAACATCAAATTGAAAAATTATTTTGCAGACATTTGTTACGTGAAATCCAAGAACTTTGTCTTTACATTCTTATACAACCAAATGTATATATTTATCAATGGTTACATCTGATCTTTATAACTATCTTCATATACAGAGATGTGTAACATTTGTTTGAAATTACATATAACACAAGTGTTTTTCAACTTTCATAATTCTGAGGTAATCTTATTCAATAATTCACTTCGTATGTTGTCTTTATAATTAATTTATATAAGTAATCCTGTCCATATTTTTCTGTAATATGCAGATTTATCTTTTCAATCTGATGTTCATTTGTATGAAGTAAATATAAAAGTTGTATCTATAGTTTCTTATTTAGTAATATGTTATTCTTCATGTTCATAGCATTAGTTAAGCTATTATTAATTTTTACCTTAATGCAAAAGAAAAATTAAATATTGGTACTGTCATTTATTCACAGTGATCATAAATATTTGCTAGTTTCTTCCCATTTATTTCTTCAAAGGTGCAATACTTTAGTGTCCTTGAAAGAAATTGACAAAAAAGTACCATGAAGAATTTAACTACAAAACAATTGCAAAGAATAGAAAAAAAGAAAAAAAAGATGGCTGCACTTCTGGAAATTACTAAATTGAATGATAAGGATAGAGAAGCAAGAGCATTTGCTCTCAAAAAAGCTGTTAGTATCGTTATTAAAACTACTATCTTTACTTTGAATTTTGATTGAAAAATATTTATTACAGTCTGAAGAAGCAGAAAAGTCCAGTGACACAGATAGTAGTGAAATTTCTATGGAAGAGAGTTCTAGACGTAAGCGACCTTGTAGCGATCATCTCAAAGAGACTTACTTGGAAGATTCTACTGTAACAGTAGAAGTAAAAACTATTACAGAAAAATCAAATTCACTGGCTAATAAAAAACCTAGGTTTGTGAAACTTTATATTCAATAGTTTTTATTAAAAATTATTAATAACAATTGTACCTTTTATACCTTAGGTTAAGTGGAGATGAATATCTAAAATTAAAGCAAGAATTAAGAGAACGTAAAAAAGCACTTAAGGCAATACCTCGGTTTCATTTGAAAGCAGTCGGTGAAAGTGCTAGTATAAGTATTAATATTAAAAGCGAGAATAGGATTCCTATTTTCCTTAGTGATGTGCAACATTTATTATTATACTCCTTACATGGACATCATTCGCCATATATGCCAACAAGGTGGTGCCATCTCGAAAAATACAATAAGGTAATGAGCATGATACAGATTTAATAGAAATGAGGATTTCTTTTAAATGCATTAAATAAAACCAAACCATTTTCAAAAAGGTCACACATACAGTGGTTCTCGTTGTTGAAGGACTCTCTGTGTACCACTTTATGGCATTTGAAAGTATGTTTTCACATATAACATCAAAATTAGAGCATCGTGTGGAAGTGGTAACACCCGCAGTATATGGAGGATCGATAATAGAAGATTTAGCTGCAGTTCCTATAACCGGGATACAGAGTGATAAATTGATTAAACGTAAATTAATTTTTTATCAATATTATTACTCCCATAACAATTAAGAAATTGTGTACATTTTCTTTTCAGAGTATGGTTCACTAGAGGCTGCTTTACACAGTACAGGAGATGTATTAAAATTATTAAGGACTGTTTTTCCAATGTATTGCTCCGGTAGAATAAACACTGATTCAGTTAAAAAAGTATTTGAACTACCCGCTACAGACAAATTTCCCAGGACACAACTACTGTTATCGTTATGTCAGATGGTAGAAGAAAATTATCCAGTACCACTACGGGGTGAATTATCAAAAAAGTGAGTACTGATGATGAAATATTGTAAATTGTATTGCACTAAGATTAATGATTATATGATACTTAGATATGAAAATTACATAATGACGAAAGACATGTATTTTGAAGCGACTCCAAGATCTCCAATGTTTGGCTTAGATTGTGAAATGTGTAGAACAACAACCGGAGAATTGGAATTGACGCGAATATCTCTCGTTGATGAAAGTATGAATGTAAGTTTGAAATAAACGATATCTCATTAACGAGTAATATACAGATTCTATTAAATTCTTATCACAGATTATTTACGATAGTCTGGTTAAACCGGATAATCCTATCACGGATTACCTCACTCGATTCAGCGGTATAACAAAGGAAATGTTAAAGGATGTCACAACCACCTTATCTGATGTTCAGCACACACCTTAAAGATGATGCACCCATACATTATTGATACATCTGTAATCTTAAATATTACTGGCGATAGGTCATCATCCTTTTCTTGCAGTGAATTTTTTAAAATGAATAATACTAATTATTATCCATAATACAGGTACAGAAAAACAAAGTTACAAACATTAGTGAGAGAATTCCTTGGCGAGAGAATACAGGAAGATAAATCAGGACATTGCTCAACTGAAGATTCAAAGGCCTCGATGAAATTAACAAAATTAAAATTAGCAAACAGTGTAGATTATGGAGATGCCGTATTACTTGGACGATGCGACATGGAAATATTGAAAATGGAAGCAGAAAAACGTAAAGATCAGGATCAAATGGCGAACGTGGAAGTACGTAGATATGCCACATCAATTTTCAAACATGTAACGAAGAACCAAAAAACAGCTGCGGTTGTGGGTAATGAAGATATTATGAACGAATACTCTAAGTACTTGACTTCTTCTATCAATATTATGGATGACGAAAACTTCGATAAAAACGACCAGGTATGTATCTTCAATCATAGGATAAGTACTCAGTAGTATTCGTTATCCATTTCTTCATAATCCTACATTTGTTACAGGTGCGATTTGTAGTTGCGGATAGTGATAAACAAGCCGTAAATCGGGCCGCTCAAATAGCAATAGAACACGCTTTTACTTTATGTCATGTTAGGATAGAAGAAAAGAAATTGAAAAACGATCAAATGGAGAAAACATTTCGTACGGTGAATAAATGGATACACAAACTGTGGCAACATATGGCAGTAAATGGATTAGCATGTATCATATTCACGGGAGAAAATAATGCAACAAATGGTGCCTGTTTCTTGAATTTAAAGGGAGAAATACCTGAGAACTGCCCGATACGTGCTTAAAAAAGATGTGAATCTATTCTTTGTACATTATACTTTAGAGGAAATCATTGAAGAATTATGAGTCTAATAATATTAGTAGAAATTATAGAACAAAATGCAAAAAACTAGAAAACAATTGTTACGTTCTTATTTCGATAATAATTTGCTAAAAATGTACAAATGTATTGTTTTGTTAATAAACTTTTTTTACTCTGTGTAATCTACATTTGGTAAAGGTTTGTGCAGTATATATTAGTAGTATTATACAAAGATGACAAATCCAGAAAACGCAAATTAAATTATAAAGAACACTTTATTTAAATCAGTTTTAATTATTACTTTTATAAAAAACGATTTATTTCCGTTGCAATATTAAGTATTTACATATCATTTGTAAAGCCATAGCAAAGTTGGGATTTGTAAATATTGATAGTGCTTTGTTTATACAGAATTTTCTTACAATAGGTTTGTCTCGTAGAATTGGGAACAAAGAAAACAATGTATTTATAGCGAGATGCAAAATGAATTATACTATTTAATGTTTACATTTTATTTATAAAAAATGGACCTACAAATAAAAAGAACAGTCTCTTAGGATACTATGAAGAAACAAATTCACAGCAAGAAAATTCTATATTTACAGTTCAATGTCGTCTTCTATTGTGAAACATTAAACGAATTAATAACAATCTGGCATCAACTCACTAACATACAGCAACAATTAAAAGTAGAGATGCCTAACTGGCGCTCACCAACAAGGGTGTGTAAAGTACCTCCACTACCGGACATAGGCTGTTCCGCGACCTCATCCTCCCGCCTTAGCTCCATACTGGGGGTAGGTACCTCGGGAGGTAAATACACCCACGGTGAGCATTGGTTGGACATCTCTGATTTAAAGCTAAAAAGCAAACATATAGCTCGACAACTTTTACGGAATAGTCGCAGAATGTTATTCACAGATTTGAATAAAATTCTATACTTGCATCCTATGATTATGGATATAAAGTGATATCAGTACATATTAGTACATACTTATGACCTAAATTGTCAAGCTATATATTCCTTTTCACTAGCTTACAATAATTATTAGCTAATTGCTACTGTTATAATAAAATATAAAAATCACAGGAACTATAATTAAATCTTAGTACTAAACTCCCATTATGAAACATATATAAATTAGACCTTCACGGTTATTTATTAAATTTTTCCTTTACCAGAGACTTTTTGCTTCTCTACATACATTAAGTAAGCTGAAACACGTTGACGTGAATTTCTGATAAGCATTTTCTGTCTAAATAACTGCACTTCTTTAGCGGTTTTGGTTTTTTTAGCTTTCTGAAGATTCGTGACACTAAAATTAGTTGTGCTCCCATAAGAACTCACTGAAAAATTAGAATCAAACATTGAACACGAAGGTAAAACTTGTTCCTCAGGCTTTGACACTTTCCTTTTTTTCAATATTTCCAAAGAACTGTCCACAAGGTGCTCAACAAGTTCCTCGGGTAGATATTTAATACTTTTTCTTGATACTTCTATCTGCTTAGATTTCGAAGTTTGATGTATAGATTTCTGTTTTGGGGTTTTAACTTTTATTTCATTTTCGATTTTTTCGTCATTTTCTTCTACTTTCTTCCTTTTCCTATCCTTATTAGAAGTAGTGTTACCAGTAACACGTTCCGCTATATTCAATGTTGCGGTTCCAGTTTTAGAAAATATAACAGGTGCAGGTTCACCAACTGAGTCCAATACTGTATTAATAGTGTGCTTGGTTTTATTAGATGTGTTAACAAATTTTCCATGAGTTTTTGAAATATATTCTGGCAACGATTTTTTCTTCTTCTTGGACACTTGTTCAACTGAAACACATTCATCTTGTAAAACAGTATTTTTTGGTAATAGTTTTCGTTTTTTCTTGGATAATTTCTCTTTTGAAATATCTGCAGTTTGTGAAACAATATTTTCTGATAACTTCTGCTTCTTTTGGGACACATTTTCTCCAATTTCTTCATCTTGTGAAACAATATTTTTAAACTTCCGTTTACTCTTAGTTAGGTTCTTAACTAAATCTTCTTCAGGTAGCACAGACACTATATTTTTAGACTTTTTCTTTGCCAATACTTCATTTTCTGTAATGCTGTGTATATTTGCCATACCCACTAAATTTTTGTTCTGCTTCCCTTTCTTCTGTTCTTCATTAAATTTTGGTCTTGCTTCAATAACATTTACACGTAATTCATTTTGTAGAGGGTTTTCAATATCAGCCTCTGTGTTTGATTTCTTCTTCTTTTTCTCATTTGAACAAATTTCTGTTGACTTTTTACTTTCAGGACTGTTAGTGTTACGGACATGTTCTTGGTCCTCCCCTGATATTTGAGAATCTACATTTCCTTCCAAACCATCTTCGTCAGACGTGGGTACAGTTTTCTTTACCTTTCGTTCTTTTCGTTTCTTTTGTTTCTTCTTGGACACTTGTTCAACTAAAATACTTTCATCTTGTGAAACAGTATTTTTTGGTAATAATTTTTGCTCTTTCTTGGAAGATTTGTCTTTTGAAGTATTTACAATTTGTACAATATTTTCTGATAACTTCTGCTTCTTTCGAGACACATTTCCCATAATTTCTTCATCTTGTGAAACAATATTTTTAAACTTCCGTTTACTCTTAGTTAGGTTCTTAACTAAATCTTCTTCAGATAGCACAGGCACTTTATTTTTAGACTTTTTCTTTGTAAATACTTCATTTTCTGCAATGTTGTCTATATTTGTAGTACTGACTGTATCTTTCTTCTGCTTCCTTTTCTTCTTTTCTTCATTACATTTCGGTTTTGCTTCAATAACATTTACACGTAATTTATTTTGTAGAAGGTTTTCAATATCAGCTTCTGTGTTCGGTTTCTTCTTCTTTTTTTCATTTGAACAAATTTCTGTTGACTTTTTACTTTCATGACTGTTAGTGTTAGGGACATGGTCTTGGTCCCCCCTTGATATTTGAGAATCTACATTTTCTTCCAAACCATCTTCGTCAAACGTGGGTACAGTTTTGTTTACCTTTCGTTTTTTTCGTTTCTTTTCTTTCTTTTGACAATCAGTTTCTAATATATTCTCAGCTACTTTCAGTAATTTGTTTTTTAATGACTCATTCATTTCTTGAGCTGGTTTTACATTTAGCTCAACATTTGTAGTTTCTTCTTCGACATAATATTCTTCAACATTGACATGTTCCACTTTACTGTGACTTAATGTGTCACATTGTTCATTACTTTTACTGTTACTTATTGATTTTCTAAGGTTACTATCTAATTTCAATACTGGTAGACTCTCGTTCAATTTTTCTTTTCTTAAGTGTCTTACAGTAGGTGATTCACTCCATGGAACTGAAGTCGTTCTATTTAATTCTATTACTTTAGAAGACATTGGTCTTGAAAGATTTGTTTTTTGAGCATGTTCGTTAATTAAGGCCGGAAAACCATGCAACAAACTTTCTGTATCTTTTGTATTATTTGATTTTTTCAAACTGGTTTTCAATTTCAATATCGTCGCTTTATCTCTTTCTGTACTTGAATAGATATCTCCTTCAAATTCACAGGTATTATCAGACACTTTTTGAATAGTACTTTCTAAACTTACATGAAATTGATCTCGTTTAAGTGAATTAAGTTTAGGGGTACTGCATTCCATTGATCGGCTAAGTTTTTGCATCTTAGGTCTTGAATTTTTCATTTGAGGAGATCTCGAGAAAAATTCATTAAGTAAATCACATTTTTCTTCATCCTCATCTATCTCAGACAGATAAATCTGAGAAATCTTCCCAACTTTCTTACCATCTTCAGATATTTGAGATAAATCTAAATTTCCAGAGTGTCTTAATTTATTTTCTTCTTTATTACAGATATTTGAGGATTTATTCAAGACTGTTTCAACATTTTCTTTCACAATTTCATTTTGTACTTTGTTTTCTTCAGTTGCTATACCATCGGTTTTTTCTTTCATTTGCACTTTTTCAAGTTGATCATCTATGGATTCTTCATTAGTTTCTTGATCTTTTACATCATTCTCATTATCTACTTCATTATTACTCTGATCTTCCTCCTCGTTCTCTTCAGAAACATCGTCATCATCAACTACAAAGTCTTGAAGATCTGATCCATGATCATCAGGATCTGAGGATTCCGTTTCTGATGCTCTACATTCATCTCCCGGTACGTCATCATCAGAAAATTTAGAAACTTCTTTGCCATGAAGATTATATTCCCTTTCAATATCAGAATCTATACTTTTATCTGATTTGTCAGAGCCACTTGAATTTAATGATGATTCAGTAGGCGATTTCTTCCAAAATTTCCTTCCCTTCATGGTTTCAGATTCATCAGATCCTTCACTTTCACTATCTACCTCCTCAACGGCTGTGCTAAATGATTTTCGTTTCTTTGACATGTCTTCAGATAATTTGCTTTTCTTCAATGATGAATCTATGCATGATTTACTTAATGATTTCCTTCTCTCCATGGCTTCAGATTCATCAAATCCATCACTTTCACTATCTACCTCCTCAGCGGGTGTACTAAATGATTTTCGTTTCTTCGACATGTCTTCAGATAATTTGCTTTTGTTCAATGATGAATCTACGGATGATTTACTTAATGATTTCCTTCCCTTCATAGCTTCAGATTCATCAGATCCTTCATTTTCACTATCTACCTCCTCAACGGGTGTACTAAATGATTTTCGTTTCTTCGACATGTCTTCAGATGATTTGCCTTTGTTCAATGATGAATCTACGGATGATTTATTTAACGATTTACTTCCCCTGACAGCTTCAGATTCATTACATTCTTCAATTTCACTGTCTAGATCTTTAAAAGATTTATTAGATTTCCGTTTTGTTGCCATGTATTTATATAATTCAGTTTCTTTAAGTGGTGAATCAATAGTTGATTTGTCCAAATTTTCTTGAGTCATTGCTGTCCAACTTTCGTTTCCTCTTAATTTGTTAAATGAAGTGTCTTCTGTTACAGATTTTTTCCTATATATACTTTCACCAGTTTCTGTTTCTTCTGTACATTTATTAATATGTTCTGGATCTTGAACCGCATCTATTGAATCATTCACTGCATTTGCTTTCTTCTGAATTTCTTCTTGCTGTTTAGATTTTCGGTTACTCTTTACTTTTGCAGGTGTATGTTTATTATCATCCTGTGGTATATCTAGTTTTTCTTCTTCTTTTCTCTTCAAAGAATCTCGTTGTGCTTTTAGTAGAACGGTGTCATCAGAATCGTAATCGAATATTGCATTTTCTTTCTTTTTTTCCATATTTTCAGCAACTTGTCTCGCGTCTCCATCAATTAAAACAAGATCACACTCATTCTCACTTTCATTTTGAAGTTTCTCTGTCGACATTGAATAGACAGAATTCTTATCGAAATTCCTTTCCTTCCATTCGTCAGCTGAAATGTCGTGAAACAAATCTGTATCTACAATTGCATCAGAATCACCATCGTCGACTTTCATTTTTTCTTCATGCTCCTTAGATGTTTCATGATTCACATTTTGCTTTATTTGTTTATTAGATGATTCGGATTTGCTTATAGACTCCCTTTTTGAAGTTACAGAGTTATTCAACATAGAAGTGTGTGTCGCATCTTCTTTCTCAGAAATTTCGTCAGAAGGCTTAGCTGAAGACTCTGTAACAGTGTGAGATTGACTACTTTTAACCACATTAGTTATAATATCCTCAGTTTTGTTAGTAGATAAATAATTCTCTGAGCTCATATGAGCACCTAAAGGATCTGGTACTATATTCTCCTGAGTAGACACATTATTAGTTTGGTCTATATCTTGTGAATCATGTGTAGCAGTCTCATCCCTTGCTGTAATGGAAGACATAGTATTTTTTTCAAGAGACAGGGTTGCACTGTTTAAATCAGAACGTGAAAGTATTTCTACATGGTGTATGTCATCAGGATCTTTTATATTTCTTGATATATTAGACTCCTCTATTTTTTCTTTCAATTCGCTTTCATTATCTGGAATCAGAATCTGGTTTATAGAAACTTCTGCAGATTCTACACTTGTATTCGTAGCTTCCTTTGCTTTAGAATTAGAAATCATCTCGACAATTTTATCTTTATTGCACGTTTCACTGTCCAAGACAGTTTGTTGTATAGGTTGTTTTGATTTATTGTTCAAATCAAAAGACTTATTTGCAGCTGCATCATTTTCAATTTCTGGACAGTTCAAAATTTCAATGCTATCGTCTAGGCTTGAATCTTCACATACTTCTACATATGTCACATTCTGACCTACACCATCAGTAAGTGGTATCTCATTTAATGACTCCGTATCTGTTACTACTAACTTTTGCATATTATCAGAACTGTCTGCATCATCATCACTTTCTTTCCCTGATTTACCTGTGTGTAAATTACTTGCAGTCGGTGATGTTGGACTTTGTAATAATACATTAGACACTGTATCTCTGTTACTTTGTGAATCACCAGTGATATTTTCTGTTTGGTTTTCTTTATTAGTAAGGTCCCTATCTATTCCTGTTATTGAATTATTTAATATATTTTGCATTTTTAATCCAAGTTCCTTAGAAGTGTTCTCATTTGCAGTTTGTGCCATTTCTTTGGATGTATTCTGCATTGATCCTTCTGACGGAGTCATATCTGTAGAAACATATTCAGGTGTTTTATTATTATCTGACACTATTTGTTTATCAATAGGGATATCCTTTTCAATATTCTTAACTGTATTCAAAGGAGAATTTTCTAGAGAATTGATGAATGCTTCCTTAACTGTTATAAATGTAAATGTAAGTTAATTAGGATTCATTTTCCTTAAAGAGATAAAGATAAACTTTACATAGTACTGCAATACAAACAACAGAAGTTGTTAATAGGAAGGTATTTAAAATAATCGAACTTACCATTCATATGAACATCTGTTCCTTGTTTGCATACATTCTCATGACTTATGTGAAGTACATCCTTTGAAATACATAGTGACTCATCAGTCTTTTCGGAAGTAGAATTCTCTGAGTCTACAATGAAGGATAATACATATATTATACATTAAAATTACCTTAATCGAAATAAATTAGAACATAAAAATTGGATACAATATGTACATGTTTCATTAATTTCTTTGAGATTAGGTAGTACACGATCCAGTGTTACTACTGGAATTTTAGCCACTTCTGTTTCTTCTATAACAGTCGCTTCGGTGGGTAACATAGACGCTCGATTTCTTGATCTAACAGAACTACCTATTAATTCACTCTGACCCATCTTTGTAAGTTTATTTCCTCCAACAGCTTCAGGTTCCATAGAACTAGCTCTCGTTCTACGTGTACTTCTTGTAACTGTTGATGGCGACTTAATCTCTGAACCAGCTCTTGAAAGTCGCTTACTAAAAGGAAAAATATAAATATTACTGGACCATAAGATTTCAAAAACATTGATTTTGAACCTAAGGTATAGGTGATTTAAGTACAAAGAAAAATTACTTTGCAAAACTTAAAAATTTAAGATACATGTTCTTCGTGAAATATACTGTTTTTGCAATATACATTACAATTACATTCCATTTATTGACTGCAAACATACCTTGTTCCCTATGGGCCAACTGATGGCACTTATAAATAAGATCAACCTATATCAAATGTTTGTCAAAATACAAGTCAACCAGACACTAATGGGAATATTAATAAGCTCATATGTATAAAATACAATAAATTAACATTCTCTAATAATGTTACTCTATTTTTACACATACTGTCTTGTGAATGTCTTATGACTACTTTGGTTGTAACAGTATTTCTAATTCTTACAGAATTATGTCACCTTGAAAAAATAATTTATAATAACAAGTGACATGCCTAGTTTTGCCATTAGTCTCGTTCAATCCATCATTAACAGAAATATTGTTAGTCTTCTTTGTCGGTGTTGCAACGGTGGAATCTTTATCTGTAGTTTCAGTGATATCTGATGCAGTAGAATTTCTTCTGGGACGTAAAGTCCTACTTTTTTCAGTCATTATAAAACTGTCCAGGGTAGTTATTCGACGTCTGGTGTTTCTTGTCGTCTGTGTAGTATTAATGTTACCAGTGTCGCTTAAAGATGCTTCCGGCGAGGATTCATTTTGTTTAACGACAGTCTTAACTCGAGAACTACGACGTAGTGGAGAGTCGACCGTTCCTGAACCGGCGAGACCACGAGTCTTGCGACCTGCAAACACAGAGATAATATAAAGAATCAAATGACACAGAATTCGTTCAGGTTGTATAAAATAGACGATTTTACTTTCAGAACACTTAAGAAACAGGTTCATGCAATATGACACGCACGAAATTGATTACGAGATTGATGTCGAATCGACCGTTACAGTCGGACAGTCGAATCGCGTGCGCACATATCAACCAAAAAATGAAAAAGTACGAACCAGCTTTTGTATCTACTTCCTCATCTGAATCTTTTACAGAGCGTGACATTTTAATTATCGCGTAAATAACTCATTAGACAACAATGGCTATGCACAAAAAAAATTGGAAATTGTCCTAAATACAACACGTGTTAACGTCCAAGTTTAAACAGTTTAAACTCATTGATCTATGTACGCTATATACTATGGATACGGACTTGCTATAAGACAGCAACACCGCTGCTGACTAGAGATGGCGTGAACTGCTACTTGTGAATCACAAATGATTCGATCACGTTCGTTCCCAATCACGGTGATTTTTCACAGTGATTCGTGATTTCTCGTGATCGTTTCTGATTGGTGAAGAAACTTAACAGTTCTATACACGCGACACATAATCTGTATATTTTATATTAACAACGTCAAAACAAAAATTCGAGTTATGTCGTATAAAGTGAAGTAATAATTAGAAACAATGAAGAATAATGAATAAATTAATGATTATAAATTATAATCTACATGTTACCTAGCAAATCATTCTTTTAGAATTTCTTGTTTTTCTACTGATTTTTACAAACACAAATAGTAATGTAATTCATCGTAAAATCATATTGTATACGTTTGTCTGTATAAAGATCAAGGACTTACGATCGCAGTGAGCAAATTCACTCAAGATAAACAAATCGCAATCACGGTCGTAAATGAAGTTAAATCCTGATCGTGATTGTGATTCGGTGATTACTGTGATAAATCACCGTTAGTGATTTTGCACGCCATCTCTAACTGAAATCGTTTTGTAATTTGATTATTTGCATGCAATCCTTTAAGAAATAGCAATTCTTTCTGAAATTGTCACATGCTGCTATATAGATGAAACTGTGCGTTCGATGTGGTAAGAGACCCCGTGTGTGGGAGGAAGTGGGGTCATAGAACCCACGGAGGAGGCACCAGTGACCCCGTGTCGTTAGATCGTGGGGTCATGAAACCCCGGTGGAGGCACCAGTGACCCCGTGTGGTGAGAACGTAGCGTCATGGAACCCCCGGTGGAGGCGCCTGAGACCCCGTGTGGTGAGATCGTGGGGCCATAGAACCCCCAGAAGATATACAAGACTTTTGAAACGTGATCCTTTATCGCTGTTGCTCATACGAGTCTCCAGCTCGGTCTAATGTTGCTCGTGCAACTGTCAAAATCTGACTGACACTTGTGCGTGCTTCCGTGAGCAAATTATATAGTAACCCCAGCAACCATGGCAGTTTCTGCAGATACTACTACAGCCCAAGTTTAAAAGACGTAGGCAGTAGTTAGTTTCTGTAGTAACCTGTTGAACCAGACAACTATAATTAGTATAGGATTGTACAATCTTTATGCAGTTATATTTAAGACAATTCGATGAAATGAAGCTTATATTACCTGACGTATGTTTATTGGAATATATATATATATACATATAAATTATAATGATATAAAAGTTTGAAATACAGTACGATGGGCTACGGTACAATACGTCTATTCGATTCAATTGCTCCCTTGCGACTACATCATGCTATCCGCGTTCGGCGCAGTGCGCTAATACGGAGGCCAACGAAATATCACTGTAACACTTAAAAAAGTTTTAAAGTTCCATTTATATCATTGTCCTGTGAAAATGTTCATACTTCCAGCAGCATTCATATTCCAATCAAAGAATTTACAGAATAAGGAAAAGGAATCTAAAGTATTCTTCAGTAGTTCCATACATCTTTATCTCGAATAATTTTCTAAAACATTCAAAGTACTAGACATTTTTTCACTTTGAATCTCATATCGATTTCTACAATAATCCTAGTTCGATGTAATGTAGAACGTGGTTTTATGAGATAGATTCGAAGTTCGCAGCCATTAGCTCGATATTGTCATCAGTTTGCAGTACTTTACCGATGATAATACCGATTGCCCAGGCCTCACCACGAGGAGGTTGCTGCGAGTGGAGGCCCAAGGCAGGTAGATGGAATCACAAGTTCTACATCTACCCACCTTTCACAATAAACCTTATAAATAACTTAAATCTTAACTATGTAATACTATCGGTACTAAAATCCCTCGGCGGATGACTTCTTTCTTGAGCCTAAACCTATAAAAAACTAAGTTCCCTCGTCGGTTGTCTTCGTTCTTCAGCTTAGAACTAATATTATCTTAATATTCTAATTAATACGAATTAATGCTAGTAATACGAAATAACAAATTTAACGCAATGTAGTCGCTAATACTCAAACGAAAGAGATAGACGGAATGGAAAAAGTTCCATCGATCATTTCGTTTACGCACCTAATATTCCATATACCAAGCAGTTATTAAGTCTACGATGAACTACGCGTTAAACTACAGTATGAACAAGTATCGCGATGAAAGTGTTGTCGCCAGAACCTGGTTTAAGAAAATAGGAAAGACGGGCGACACCTCGCTAACCCGGATCCATCTTTTACTGTCATGGAGCTTTGGGCTGGTCACCTGCGTACCAGACCCGAACCAAAAGAGTACACAAGCATGGTAGTGCAAGCGAGATTCTCTGTTAAACAGAGTCCGTTTACGGAGCAGCCTCCCGACTACTCCGTACCCTGGCACGCACGAGCCTTTCTCCAAATCCTACTTACCAGGCAAAGACTAAACACGTCCGATATCTGGCTTCTCAATAGAAACCAGAGGGATCGGCAAACAGTCTTAGTGTACAGACCCACTGCCCGTACCATAGGTACAGACCCACTGCCCGTACACCAAGTCTGTGTAGAGAATCAATGAGCAAAATGAATTAATAATAACTTGGTATGCACAATGGATGGTCACAATTTAAGTCTATTAATAGATAGACTAAAATTAATAATAATAATTGTCATTACGATGTGATGATGAATATGAATATAACAATGAATATCGAATTACGATTTAAATTTAACTTACAGTAACTTAACGCAGTGGTAAACGCTTTGAGGATGTAGACGTTGATCGATGTCTTCTTTCGATGGAATAACTGTTTGGAAAAATATTTT